ACCAAACACACACACCGAACACCCACACCAAACACACGCATAAACCAAACACACACACCGAACACCCACACCAAACACACACATAAACCAAACACCCACACCAAACACACACATAAACCAAACACACACATAAACCAAACACACACACCGAACACCCACACCAAACACACACATAAACCAAACACACACATAAACCAAACACACACACCGAACACCCACACCAAGCACACATAAACCAAACACACACACACTGAACACACACATAAACCAAACACACACACACCAAAAACCTTCCTTCCAGTCTTTGCTGCTCCAGTCATTCTGTCTTTGCTCAGAGGAGCCTCCAGGTGGGCTGCAGTGAGGGGCGGAGCCTGAGGGGGGCGCTGGACTCCAATGATTGACATGCCAAAGCACCAGATAACTCAGTACCTGGGGCTATGCAGTGCAAACGGTTACTTTAACTAAAAGTTAAAATGACCTAAACAGAGTTTAACCAATTAGCTCCTTTCCTAAGTAGAAAAAATGTCTTCTGGTTCATTTCACAGAAAAAAAGATCCGATATCGCCTCAAACTGCTTCATAATAATTAAAGATGCTCTTTTATGAATAAAACGAATCAGCAGTTTATTTATATAGCCTGATGATGTCGGCTTAAAATGAATCCAGTTTCTGGGTCAAATTTGGACCGAACCAAATCTGGATCAGGTTTCTGGTTTTATTGCCTCACTGGGAAAGACAACATAGAAAGACTGGTTTAAAATCACTCATGGTTAAAGTTAACATGATCAAAAATGGATTAATATTCATCATAAGGATTATTATCATATTGCCCTGCGATGGACTGGTGACCTGTCCAAGATGGACCCCGCCTCTTGCCTGGTGACAGCTGGAGATAAACACCAGCACCCCTCGTGACCCCGCTGGGATTAAGCGTGTAAGAAAACAGATGGATTATTATATGACCTCTATCAAGTTAATTTAAATATCTAAAAAGATAATTATTTACCGTCAATTTAACCAAAAACTGGAGTGAAAAAAAAAACATCAAATGATTTTTATTTACCGGGTGTATTTGCAGCATGATTAATAACAAATATATTTAAAAACAGATTAAAAAAAAAAATAATCAGCCGATAATGTACATTATAGGATGTGTGACTCTGCTTAACATAGATCTATGCTTTGGTAAAATAGTTTCAACCATAGATCATTTTATGCACCAATATTCAGCCTCCCTTCCTCTCTGACTGAAATCATTTATTTTATTTAATCATATTTGATAATTAAAGTTACAAACCTGATCAAATGACTTTATTTCTACTGATGACATCATCTGTCTTCAGGTTCCCTTGATCTTTTCTTCATCTCTGCATCCTTCCATCTAAAAGAAGAGATGATTTTAAGAACAATACAGAGAGATGAGAACAGGATCGACTTACAGATTTTTATTTTCTGTCACAAAATGTTTTAAAAAGGTAAATTTAAAAAAGGTGAAAGTGACTGACATCTATTTAAAAATATTTCCTGTTTAAAAACGAATGAGAGATAAATGTATTTCCCTGCGGACCTCCTGACCAGTAGGTGGCGGTAAAACGCCAGTAGATCGTTAATCAACCGGTAAAAACAGAGAGAAAGAGAAGAAGAAGAAGAAGCTACACCAACAACAATCGGAGGTTTTTCATTTGAACTGAACTTTTTTCCTCCAAACTTTCTGAAGGTTTTTTTTTTAATCCGGCCTCTGAGCGTCTCAGGATGAAGCCGCCTCCTCGCGCTCGGACTAAGCGGGACCTGGAGATCCGCTCTGGGCCCCCGGAGCCCCGCAGGAAGCCGGCGGTCCGGAGGTGGGGGCGCGTGGAGCTGAAGAAGCTGCTGGAAGCCCTGAAGGAGCTGCACCAGGGGCCCGGAGCCCCGCGGGACATCGACTATGTGATCCTGAAGAACCGGGTTCCGACCCGGTCCATCTCAGAGGTACCGACAGAACCAGCCTTTGATTTAATACATGATTGAACTGCTTCTAAAGTCTGAACCTCCTGACTGGGTCAGCAAAGCAGTGGCCTAGTCAAAGTCCGGACCTCACAGTATGACGTCAGAGTCAGACATTTTTATTCTTTATTGATTCTGTGTAGAAAATGACTTTTAGTTCAGTTACTTTCAGAACATTTTCATCCATAAAGATCAGCAGAGATCAAATAGAAACATGGAGCAGAAAATCATCAGATAGAAGCTGAATCAGAACCAGACTGGAGCTCAGAGCAATGAGTGCATTCTATGTTAGACCATAGTTCATCTGGACAAGAACCACATGTAGATCTACAACATGATCAGCTGTAGATCTACAACATGATCAGCTGTAGATCTAGAACATG